CTGAAATTGTTGAACTGAATCTCCCTCGTCGCGATCGACGTGGCGTAATAAGTTGATCCCCACTATTCCATGGCCTTTTTTGGAAAGAAAAGCTGCATTGGGAAAGTGTTTTGATGGTCCCGTTTCTCTTTGCATTGTCCTTACAACATCTGTATTTTTTTATACACCACTGGGACCAGTTGGCTACAATATCGAAGGTGTGCGAGTCTAGACATTATACATAAAATTCTCTCTTGTCTTCTGTGGTGCGACCACCTGCGGATTACCTGTAACATGTTGTTGCCATCGACGAAGACTTTGTCTATTATGTTTCTGGCTGTCCCTTTTGAAGTTAACTTGTAAAAAGAACCTTTAACGTCGAATGCTAATTCTATGCTAGAAATGGTTCATGTTACACAGAATGTATGTGTTTAACAATTTTTGTCATTTTATTTTATGTAGTTTGTTCATGCATCGTAATGCCGATGCGACAAATTTCATCTTGGTTTCATTCTAATGAAATGAGGGAATTGTGCTGCTTACTACTTTTAGAAAATGTTGCAGGTAACCTGCCTTACACCTAAAAAAATTGTGATAAAAACTTGGGATACACTTCATAGGTTCCCCTTGTAAAATAAATAAACGATATTGAACAAAATTCTCATCAAAATGAAATCGTGAATTACAACCATATTTTTCCGAATGAGATTTCCGTGAATAAAAAATTGGGACAATTTCAAACGCGATTACAAGGAACGAAAGGTGGAAAGCATGTAATTGAGGTTCACGGTTGTGGACGAAACGACGGTTGTCTATCTGGTCACACTTGGAACACTATCCAGGTTGAAAGATGTAGTCCTCATCGGCTCCGGATTATTTGAGGCGATTTCATACCATAGAATTACTGGTTTAACCAACCGTGATAATCCAAGTCGTGACAACCAATTCGATTTAGAGTTTCTTTTCACATTTAAACTCAAACTAGTTGATATACACGGTCTGTCACCAAAATTCGAATACCTAAATATCTTCTTTGGTTTTAATGATGTGAGAAATATTTAAAGCATAACACTGTTCAACACGTGAAACACCTCACAACCGTCAATTGGCGTTTCTGATAGACCTTTATGAACTGAATATGAATCTGCAGACTGTTTTTCCCAAGCACGTCTAGTTTTTGAAAGAAATCCATTTTATTTCAAATTGCAAATTTTCAACTTTGGACTTGTGTTGTGCTTTAACAGTAACAGTATTCAGTTACTTTCGACGCGAAATAATTCTCTGGACTCTCCTGAAGAAAATAATATAATTGTTATTCTATTACAGATAACTAAATATGTTTAAATAATGATCAAAGTAAAAAAGACACCGAAAATGCACTGATTTTTGCTAATATTCTTCAGTTTATTCCAAAAACAAAGGGTGCAGAAAAGAATCTAACCATAGCGTGCCATATACAGAGTGTAACAAAAATGTTGCAGGTCCCTGAAATGGGTCGCTCGTGAAGCGATTTGGAACAAGTTTTTCCTTAGCAAAAATGTTATCCGAGGCTTTGTTAACGATATATTAACGAAAAACCCCGACCAATCAGTGCGCGAGTTTGCCGGCCAAGTGTCTGCGGTAGCGTTGGCTATCAATTGCAGCGCGTAGACAACACTGCCGCGGGAGCTCAGCCGGTAAACTCGCGCTCTGATTGGTCGGGGTTATTCGTTAATATTTAGTTAACAAAGCCTCAGATCACATTTTTACTAAGGAAAAACTTGTTCCAAATCACGTCACGAGTGATCCATTTCAGGGACCTGCAATACTTTTGTTACACTCTATAGAAGATTGTTCTGCTAATGACGGTGTTAAGGAAAGTTACAGAATCTGTTTTGTTTCCAACAGAGAAGCGAAATAGTTCAGCAAAACACGCAGTGGCGGTAGTGGTACTCAATGACAGCAGTCACTTAGCTTGCCGCTCAAACGGAAGCGCTAAATGTGCATAAAAACATAACAGATTTTGTAATTTACCTTGACACCTATATTAGCAGGAACATCTGTTAGGCAGGGTGTGGCAATAACTATTGTCGCCCCAGAAGTCTTTGAAACTATTAGGTTTACAAAAATATTTGTTTAACCAAAATTGCACAGTACGAAGAGAGCCATCCAGATGGCACTTATAGTTTTTTGCAGGTGGAGGTACTTTGGATATTTCAAGGTCACCTCATTATTTCAGATTTTTTATCGACGTGTTTTTCCGTGAAAAGGTATCTTATACTTTAAATATTATGTATTCTCTTCATTAAATTACTTTATTATACAATTGTAAATATTCATACATTCTGCAAAACAACATAAGAATTACAGAAAATAAATAAATCCAATCAATTGAAACTATGTCGTGCGTGTTGTATTCTAAATTATCGACTGGTTTTCCAACAGCGCCAATAGCGTAGCAAGTAGAGTGTGGAGTATCCTTACGGCCTCCGTAGAGGCAAGACCTACCCTCGCCAGCAAGACGCTGCCATCAGGTAGTCGAAGGGTATATTTTAAAAAAGTACTCGACAGTGAAAGTTTATTGTTGTTTTACATGTGCAGTGTTCTTACAGTGTATACAAATATAACAGGAACATTTTTTGCTTTTCTACGCTTAAGTAAAGAATCCGCTATAATCATTTGTTGGTCTTTACAGAAGAATAGTGTGACCAAGATCCACAATCGATCGCGCGAACGTTAGTAGAGTGGGGGCGTATGACCCTGCAAACATTGAAGAAATTCTCGACAGGGAAGCAACAAGAAGCACAGAAAGTGAGAAGTGTAGTGTGATACCTACCACTTCTAAATTGATAATTAGCACAGAGAATAGAGATTCAGCTCCGAAAGCAGGACCCCGAAACATCCAGGCTGATTAAACAATTATATCGCAGTAAAAATATAAGCAATTGAATCCACCACCAAATCTGCACAAAAGAAGTATCAAAACAAAATCAACAAAAGAACAACATTCAGACATGGGCAAACCCAAAAATGCAGTAACTACAAAGCCACAATAAGATTCAAAGGAAGGAACCTCCACCATGCCTAACAATACTAACCTAAACAAACTGTATAAAAATTATCGCAGTAACTAGATGAAGAACGTAAGAAACATACAAAAACACAGGAAGAAAAGTACCCGAGCAGCAACAAATTTGCAGTCCCAGCAACCGCGAACATTTCGCCATCGCTGTTCAAGACCGTAGCACGTATATAAGGGGACAAAGGACTCAGCGCCTTCGGGAAAGAAAAGGCAAAACGCTCACCCAGATTTGCAATGCGAGGCCAAAAAGAAGGACGTTTCCAAGTCACCGACGACTGTGGACAAAAGAGGCAAGGGTACCCACTATCGCTAACGTACGAGGCAGGAGACGCGCACTGGCGCCACCAAGTGTCGAGCATCGACGTTAAGACCAGCGACTGTCCATCGACATACAATCTAAGCAGGTAAGAAATCATGCATATGTTATATCCTGTAGTCTCAGAATCTCTTTTCATTGCACATTTTTTTCTCGTCACTTTCAAACGCGAAGAACGAACGAAAACCGTCAATTCAGCGACACGTGGAAGCTACGCGCATGGTCCGACCTTCCTCGAAACGCCGACCAGCGGAATGGAAACGTACGGCACTTCATCAGCAATTTCCAAAGACCGCCTCGGCGACTCGATGATTCTCGAGTATCGCATATCATAGCCTGTTGCTACCCCGAACCTTCGACGCTTCCCAACAAAGGTGGGGAAAACCTATAAAACGACTGTCTGAAACCGAGGAGCTCTCTCGATATTTTTCGGCTCTTGTGTTATTCTTCAACGGCGAGTTCATCCGTTCTTCGACAGTTGTGCTTCGCTGCATTCTTTACACGCGACAGCGAGCTGAATGATAGCATGCACTCAGCTGTTCAGTTTCGGGTTTTCGCGACGATATTCCTATCTTCGGCGACGCGACCTCGCGACTACGCGCGGCCTAACAGGCGAGTTTCTAAGACACCGGACCGCAAAGTGCAACGTCCGAGACGGTGACAACGTATTCCGCAGTGCACAAACCTTGTGTAATGGCTTCGAGCGCCAGCGAATCTTCTGCCCTTTCAAGGACCTGAAATCCCGACCGAACCGACTGAAAGCGTCAACGTATGTTAAGACTTATTTGTATCTTTTATTTATCTGATTGTTAGAATATATCTTTGTTGTTATCAAAAACGAGAGTGATTTCCTATCCCTCCTGTTCCCTATCCAAAATGCGTACTTCACCGGTAAGTTTAGACAGGGCGTGCTTTAGCACCTTAAAAGAGCCAGGACCCGTAATTATAAATAAAGTAACGACCGCAACGCGGGACGTAACACATAAGAGAAAATTTACACTTTTACATTTTCAATATATTTTCAGTATAAGTTCATACACTTTTACAATATATTTTCATCAAAGTGTCACGAATGAATTGAAGAGATTCTCCCGACAAAAATGAGTCCAAACTCGGATGTAATCGAACATTTTGCGGGCCACGCAGTCGAGTCGAATGGAAACAGAAGGTTTCTCTCTGTTTTTCACTCGCTTGACCTTTTCTATGTTCGGAATACTACAAAAGCGAGTTGCCCAGGCTGGAGCTTCGGGCAAAAAACGTATTTACGAGGGTCAGAAGAGTTTCCCGTAGTCCACGATTATTGTCCTGGCGCGGACCCGAGTTCGGGACAATAATCGCGAGGTCCCTGTAGTCAAATAAAACCATTATTTTTGTGTTTTTATCAACGATATATTTAAAATTTTTATTGATTGGGAATTACAATGTTTTACATTTCTTTTCACCAAAGCCAAATATGTATACTTATGATAGAAATTATGACAAAGCTATGCATGTATCTAACTAGCATAACAGCTCGTTATGTGATAGAATCAGATAGAACAGTCATCATATTTAACATGTGAACCTAAAGAATGTATAATGATTTGACACCACATTCCAACAGGTTACCATTAATTTTTGTATTCGTACGCGCCTTTGTCACAGGTGATGGAATACCTGGAACGATTGTAGTTCGTGTCGGCAATAATCGTCCAGACTTGGGTACCAATCCAATTTGCAATCGCTTTACTGGGCCTCTTGAAGAAGGTCAGCCCCTATTTCTACCTTGTAATCCACCTATGCCAGGAGCTTTTGTCTCCGTGCATCTTGAAGCAAATGCACCGACACCGGTACCTGTGCAACTGTCGCTCTGCGAGGCCTTCGTGTACACTGATCAGGTATAATACTCATTTTGTTTATTTATTTGGTACGCATATTGAGAATATGAATTGCAATAATACAAATAATTACTTTGGACTGTAGTATTAATACTTGTACCTATTTATTTATAGCAAAAGTGCCCAACTAAATCAGTAAATAAAGTACAGCGTGTAGCATAAATTTTCAAACAATTTAATCTATTGTAAGCCGAGTCAGTACGAACGCCAGCGTAGATAGTTAGCGTTGTAAAACGTACTTCACCGCTGGCTGGACAGGCGTTCTGGCAGAATACAGTGTAAAAAGGGCTACATTCGGCCAAAGAAATCAGAAATCAACTGATAGCGGGACAGAGCATTTTCGGATAAAGAAAACTCCCTTTAAATCAGTTAGAACGAGGGGTGTAGACTCCAGTTTTTCTCCAAATAGCATTATCCTATGAACAGAGACAAGTAATTGTGCTTTCGGCCGCGGACTTGCTGAAATCAGCCTTATTTTCTAAACTCTAAAGGTAAAATTTTGTAAATTTCTGAACAGAACAGTCCTACTGCCCTGGCCCAGGAAAGAGAAATAATGCTCAGCGTCCCAATAATTCTTTTTTCATCTAATCGATAACACATAGGAATATACTTACTGCCCAGATAGCACCGTACATCCAACGGCCGCCCGTTCCATGTCCAGTTTATATCCGAATGTTCTACGTCCATTTTGGACATCCCTAGGATGTTCTCAAGACTCAAATGTCGCATGTTCTAGGACTGTCCGTTTCTTAAGTGTTACGAATGTTCGGAGGATTTTATTTTCGGGTGGTTTCGTTTATTAATTCTGGCTCAATGTCATTCCGTGCAAGGTGATGGAACACCATGAGCAAGGTGTCATTCTTTAGAGAATCAAGACAGAAGTATAACGACGCTAGTGGTTTTGTGTGGAAACCTCAGAAAATTTGAAAGAATATTTTTTTTCTCAAACTGTCTCTAACCAACACAGAATCAGTATTTTGCTTTGAATCGGTAATTTATTTTCTTTAATTGTCTCTAACCAACACACAATCAGTATTTTGCTTTGAAAATAAAAGTGAACACAATGTACACACAGATCATAACCTCCAAACATATAATTTCATTATAATTCCTTATAGGAAATTTAACCTTTTATTAACTATTTATTAACAGGAACAATCTTGATGTAATTTCTATTAAGTGCGGAAATCGCAGGAAAGTAAATCTTTTATTTATTAATCTTTTATTTATTAAATATTTACGAAATATAGATGTCTTTTACGTTTACGTGTAAACTAATCATCGTATCAAAAAATGTGAAACGAAAGTTGCTCAGTTTGTAAGGTAGAACTATGTGGGTGTATACATATAGAAATCTGTTATCTGCGGTGTTTAGAAAAAGCCTCCTTTTCTACGAATTCACCCAGCCAACTTTTTTGAAGAAGTAGCAAATTACATATTTAGCGGCTTGTGCCCTCAAGGGTATCACATAGGACACACACTCAGAGGGTCACACCTAAAGTCACTATAGCTCGAAGAGGCACTATACGAGGTTTAAACCACGTCCAAAAAAACTTCACAGCGGTTCCGTAGTCGAAACGCTTACCTTGTTAGTCCGCTACACCAACGACGCCATCGGAACTTCGACAAATATTTTAGTATATAATAGATACAGCACAGTTTTATTTAAGTTAACTCAATTTCTACATTTTATATACTGGATATGGAAGTATGAACTATGAAAGGACATACTGTGAAAGGATAAATGCGGTGCCTTTAAACCTCCAATGAGAAAAAAACCTTTTTTCAGCATTTTTGACAGTTTCTGATTTTTCACATTAGAATACTGAACTCAAATATCGCAAAAAATTCTCTAACGCGTGCCCCAGTAAATACTATCTATTAAATTTTTTACATAATTTTTGCACATCATTAAGCAGGGGAAAGAGAGGAAAATCCAATAATCCGAATTTTAGTCGATATATAGGGTTGAAACTTGATACATACTGATATTTCTTGACAAGCTATCGAATGGTATATCACTAGTCCAAATCAGTCTAAGGGGACTTTTGACCCCTTATCCTACTATACAGTTTTATGATTTTGTCTTCATAATACTATACCTTATCACAGAATCACGCGAAAGGACAAATACATTTGGATTTGAAGCTTTGGAGGGTTGTCAATTCATAGAACCAAACAAATGTTTCTCCGTTAAAATTTGGAAATTGAATTTTGGACACAAATTGCTGCCTGTCAGCTTCCTGTAGCGGCAGGATTAAGCAGACTAGCATATGCCGAACCTAAACACGGCCTATAAAGTTCGATACTTAAGTACTTCTTAATAAAGCCGTGCGGCGGCAACATGTATAGGGAAAAATAGTTCGGAATGATAGCCTTCACAACGTACTTCTAGTTCTAATTACCTTAAGTAGGAATAATTACCTTCTTATTATATTATCATTATCATCATCATCATTACCATCATCATCATCATCATCATCATCATCACCATCATCGTCCTCGTCATCGTCGTCATTATCATCATTATTGTTGTTGTTATCGTCGTCGCTGTTGCATCTTGGTGTTTCCTCGGGGTTCTACTTATTTACGATCAGATAGAGTTATACACGTTTACAATATAATACAGGTAAATTAAGTAGAACTCTTTATATTCAATTCATTGGCCGATGTCTGTCTTCCTTGACAGTCCGTTCAAGATAAATCCGTAACTGTCATCGGTCGGTAAAGATTAACAGTTTTCTTCGTTTCTCTATGAGACGAGTGGGCCTTGATGCACCCTACTCGGTGGCTTCACAGTGCTCGTAATATTATTACTGTTATCGTTTTCGTTATCGTTATCGATATTATTATCAAAACTGTTTTGGTATTTAGGCACTTCCAATCGAAAGATGCCCACAGTTTAGAGATCATCCACCGGGATCGACGGCCACTTATAATGGAAAATGCTATATTTTCTATAATCGTCAACCAATGATATTCAAAGAATCTCTGGCGTTCTGTCGTGCGAGAGGCGGCACCTTGGTGGACGAAAGCAATCCTGCGCTGCAAGGATTCATCTCGTGGGAGTTATGGAGACGTCACAGGTACCAAATTCATACAAGGATTCTGTATAAATTAATGGCATTTCTGGTTTAGGAATGACGCGAAGACTCAAAGCGGGTAAAAAATGACTATTGTGATACATCTTGGTTTACAAGTTCCTATTTCGAAAACAAAATTGCTTTTACTTTATGGAACTTTTATTGGTTCTTGCAGCCACATGATGATTCCATATTGTCTTAGGAAAGAAACTTCCATGAAGATTGTTTTCTCGTTCGCTGTAAGAGACTAATCCACTGTACAGCAGGATCTCGATTAACCGGACCGCGATTATTCGTGGTCCTGATCAACCAGGGTCTCATTTATTGGGTTCCTGGATTATCAGGGTACCGTATTCACTAAAAACGAACAATCTACTGGGCCTCGATTTATCCGAGCTGCCAGTCTTCCGATTAAGACAGTTAATCGACCTCCTATTGTACCTAGTTACAAAAAATGAATATGACAGTACTTTGTTGAATTCATTAACTTCTTCGTACTGAATTCACCTTCATTATTCAGCGTTTGGTAACAATCTTGGAATAATTTCAAACATTTTTTCTTGTTTTGTTATAAACAATGCGTTTGTTCGTGATAAATAACGAACTTGTAGTCACAGTAACACCATTTTTCTAATGTTTGGATGTCACTTAAGGAAGTGCCACACTGCCAATCGGCAAGAAATGTTTCAGATATTGTCACTAAAGTGATAAAGTAGACATCTATTGTAATAGACAAATACAGCTAACAGATTAAAATAACAAAGAGTACTTTTCATGCTATATTATAACTTCTCTATTGATATATCTCATCATGGTTTTATTCCGTCATAACCGAACTGACTGCAAGTATTCCAAATGTAGCGACACATTTACAATGACATTATAAGACAAACTCGATTAATTAAATAAACAATAACTTAAAAGTAACTAGCATTAAAACATCCTTATAATTTATATGTTCAACTAATATGATCAATTCTTGTTAGATTAATTGGCATTAACTAATATATGTGTTTCATCAACAAATACGGGTAAAGTTTGTTTCTCTATTCAAGGAGCGACACTTCGAGTCAATACTGGATGGGTGCAGTGAGAGATCAAAAAGATCGTTCAGTTTGGCGATGGACCGGGAGTAGCGAAGAAGTCTCAGTTTCTTTCTGGAGCCTACCTCAAGGCACAGAAGAAGATTGCGCCCGATACGATGGTAGCAGAGGCTGGCTCTGGTCTGATACACCTTGTACAGCTCGGTTAAATTTCATCTGTCAGCATCGTAAGTATCGTATTACGGATCATAAATCCACTTTCCCATTACATGCGCATTTTAAAGAACACGAAATACTTAAATTACCATACATCTGTCTACGTGTATCTCATTGCGCAGACTTCCGCCGATACTGGGGGGGGGGGGGGGCC